GGGCGGGAGCGGGGGGAGGGGGGCAAAGGTGTCACTGCTGTGACCAAACATCCCCACCGGCCCCCCCCACGGAAAGGCAGGTCACCACCACGGTGGCAGGCCACCGCCATGGCCCCACAGTCCTGGTCACAGCCGTCATCCTGCGGAGATCTGGCGTCAACTCTGCTGTCCCCGCTGTCCAGGCATGGGGGACGCGTCCCCAGGGACGTCTGCTGCTCCCCAGCTGAGGGACCCATCCCCGCCCCCCCTCCATGCTGCGTCCCCAGGCCCCCGTGGCCCCTCGGGGCAGGCAGCGTAGGGCGGCAGGGCCCCCCCGCGGCGCTGCCTCCACCTCAACTCACCTGCAGAGCAAGGGGCTGGCCAGGGTCGGTCCCAGCTGCCTCCCCCTGCAGAAGAGGAGAGGGTTTTGGGGTGCAGACGGGGCGGGGCCCCCCCCTTCCAGCCCCCGTGTCCCCGTGAGAGGGAGGGAAGGGGGAAAAGGGAGCCTGCTCAGGGCTCCGGCGGGGGCTCGGGGTGGTGCAGCCGGGCTGGGACCCCAGGGGCAATGGAGTGATGTGGGCAGCAGCTCCCTGCGCGGCACAGCGCGTACCTGCACGGAGGCCAGCGTCTCCAGCTCGCCCAGACGCTCCAGCACTCGCCGCATGTCATCCTGCAGGGCTCGGACAGTGCTGGCCACACGGGCATCCAGCTCGGCTGGTAGCCCCTGGGCAAGCTCGGGGGCACTCCCAGCGTCCTGCCCTGCCCCGGCGAGCTGGAGATCTGTGGAACACAAAGAGGGGCCAGGCTGAGCACTGCCTCACGCTCCCCAAGGACGCCCCGGGCCACCACGGCCCACCCTGCGCGCTGTCCTGTCGCCAAGCGGCGAGCGATGGAGCTCATCATGGTCCCTGCGCCGCGCCGTGGGCCGCCCGCACCGCAGCGGCTCCGGGCGGAGGTGGGGACCCCCAGTCCAGCCCAGCAGCCACATCCCCCTCCCCCAGCCGGCACCGAGCCCGTCCCTGGGGACATGGCCCACCACATCCCCCCAGCACAGCGGTGGTGGCAGGGGGTGACACCCGGCCTGCTGACGCGGTGGGGGCAGCGGTGCACATGGGTGACGGCACTTGGCCTGGCGAAGGGCGACGCTGGGCAGGGGGCCTTGCCTGCGCAGCTGCCTTGCAGCCGGGCCTCCAGCCTCAGCAAAGGCCCCAAACCCACCCGGCCGCAGCCCAGCAAACGCCCGGATAATCCGGGCTGCGAGCGGGAGACAGGCAGGGGCTTGCTGCCAGCCCTCGCGCACGCCAGCACCCGGGGGGCCAGCCCAGCCCGGCTTTATCGGCCTCGTTACAAGTTAACTCCCAAGGTCAAGCAGCCCGGGAGGGTTTGCGGAAACATTAACGGGGGGATGATAAGCGTGAGATGGGTGAGCTGTGCCCGGTGCCGGCACCACCCCTGCCAGCCCACCGGTGAGGGTGGCAATGCCAGGCTGCAGCAGAAAGCCCCCCGGGCTGTGCCTGGGGAGAGCCGCAGGGGTTGGCAGGAGGCTCCTTGTCCCCTCTCTGCCACCGCACAGCTCAGGGCCTGGGTGTCCCCAAACACTGGTGGCAGTGGGGGTCCCACAGGAGCAGGGGCTCCCCGGGACATGGGGCTCAGCTTTGCCCACTCCCTGCTTGGGCAGAGCTCACCCCCCCGGGCACTACCAAAGGCACTGGGCAAGGATGCTGGCAGCGGGGACCGCGGGCAGGAGCTGGGCCTGGGCAGCCGGGGATCCATGCTCCCCACCCAGCTGCTGGAGAGGAGCCAGCAGAGCATTCTCCCAATTTCGGCAATTTAACAGTTGCAAGAAACGGGCAACACAGATGTGTCCTAGAGGGGCACAGACAATGAACTGCTTGGGGACCAAGGGATGAAGAGAGGGGACACGGGACATCTTGCGGCTACTGAACCAACCTGTCCTGGGTGCTGGAGCCAAACTCTGTCCCCCGTTGGTGGCCACAGCCCTCACCTCTCCACGCACCCCCTGACGCCTGGCCCTGCCTGCCGGGAGGTGGGGAGGGAGCAGCGGGAAGGCGCGCAGGAGCCAAACGCTGCACCCACCTCTCTGGGGGCCCAGGGCTGCGAGGCCAGTGCTGCTCCTCCCCTCTCGTCTTCTGCCTTCACACCGCTCTCCCTGCCCAGCGCCACAGGGCGTTGGTGGCTCAGCCCCGGCCTGGATGCCGGTCGGGGAGAGACCCAGCGGCTGCCCAGCCTGCGCGAGGGGAGAGAAGAAGGGCCCTGAGACCCCCGCTCCCCTCCCCAGGGTTGCGGGAGCGTGGCAGATGAGAGGTGGGAAACACCAGGGGGGTGGTGGTGTCTCTCCCCCTGCCCCACGGTGGCATTTTTGGTGGTGGAGGGCATGCGGGGCTGACAAAGCCGAATCCCACCGGCAACACCAGTTAGCACAGGGTTTGGGAAGTGACGGAGCAGAACCCCAGGGAAAAGTAAGGTGCCCAGTCTCAAGGTGGTGAAAAAACTCCAGGGAGAAGCCAGGCAGCCGGGTGGCTTCCTCCTGCCTGCCCACCGGATCCGCCAGGCCTCACCACAGCACCTCAAGCGCCAAGTGCTGCTGGTGGCAGCCAAGCCCCCCAGGAGCAGGGAGCAGAGTGCGAGCGGCAGGGGTGCAAGCAGGGTGCCCGCACCAGCCCCGCTTGGGGCTACCGGCCCCACTTGGGGCTACCGGCCTCGCTCAGCCCTGGCAGCCCAGCAGTGCCCCACTGGAGCCGTGCTGCAGGAACGTGAGTGGTGCTGGGGCGCACCGAGGGCTCCTCAGCCTCCCCTTGGAGACAGGGACCAGGCTCCAAGAGGGACACAAAGCACAGAGGGGTGCAGCCGGGTGGCCCCATCAGTTTTGGGAGTCTCACTGGGCTGCCAAGATGGCAGCGCCAAGCGGCGGTGTGGCAGTGCCACAGCAGCGTGCAGAGCTGGGGGAGCTGACAACACAGAGAGATGTGCCCCTACGGTGCAGGCAGGGCAGGGCTGGCTGCAGGCAAAGCCGCCATGGTGCGGCAGGACCCCAGCGCTTCCCAGCCCTCTGTTACCTGCTCGGGCTCCATCTGCTCCAGGCTATCACAGTACACGTCCCCCTCGGAGTCACTGGTCACCTGGCTGCCCTCGCACGTCTGGGTGGCAGGAGCCGGCCCACCTCCTGGAAGGGAAGCACACGGCTCAGCCATGGGCAGAGAGGCGTTTCGGCCGTGTCTGGAGGGCAGGAGAAGCCCAGCACAGCCACAAGGCAACAAGTCTGCAAGCGGGCAGGAAGGCAGCATCTGCATGCATGAGGCAAGGCAGGAGGAGAAGCAAACTGAGGCACGGAGAGGAACCAGCTCTGTTACTCCTCCCCGGATCACGGCTGTGAATCGAAGGAATTCCCCCTGCTCCCACCCACAGTGTCACAGAGCCCCGCTCACAGGCAGGCACGGCCCAAAGCGGTGCCATTTTAGGGTGGGTTTCTCTGCTCACATGCGGCTCCCACCTGGGGAGGGGGCTGCCACAGCCGCCAACCAAAACCCCGGTACAGCGGGGAGCCCTTCCAGCGGGATCCAGAGCCCTGCTGCTCTGGCGGGGAGCCGGTACCATTCGCACAACACCAACTGCCAGCAGGGTGACACTGCCCAGCTCCACGCACGCTGCCAGCCCGGGCGTGCTCGAGGATGGGCATGGCCTGGATGAAGGCACTCACTTGGTGACCATATATGCTCCTCGGGGGAGGGCTGGGCCAGCGGCAGGAGGAAGGCCTCCCCAGAGCACCCTACCCAACCCTGGGCACAGCAAGAGGCCCATCCAGGCCAAGAGATCTGTGCGTGCCCTCAAGGGAACGGCACCGAGGGCTGGACCCCTGAAACCAGCCCTGTCGCTGGTGCCTCCTCCGTGGGGTCTCTGCCGAGTGCTGGCCACACCAGGGAGACCGACCTGGCACGTGCTGCCCATTCCGCTGCTCCTCACGTAGGACAGCTGCAGGGTGCTCCAGCGCCGGGCTGCTGGCTGGGTCGTCCTGGCAGGGGTCGGCCGTCCGCTCCTGACTGCCTGCACAGAGCGGAAGGGGCAGAGGAGAATTAAAGCGTTGCAGGTGCAGGCTCTCTGCGGGCTGGGCTCAGCACTGCCTCCCTGCCAGCATGGCTGGGAGACAGGGGGACACAGGGCCATTTCCCTGCCAGGGAGGCTGGCAGTCTCCGGACACACACCATGGCTGGCAGAGACAGACAGGGGCTGGCTTCATTTGCCAACAGCCCGGGAATCAGCACGAACTCAACTGGTCAGCAGGGTCTACCCAACATCTCGCTCACCCAGGGGCAGCAGGGGAGTCCCTGTCCCCTGAGTCCCTGCGGCAGCAGGCAGAGGGATCAGCACTGGCCAACAGCTGGGGAAACACCGATGGGTGACAGCCACCATCCTCATCCCCTGGCAGGGCACATGGCATGCCCATGGTAACAAACAGAGCCTAATGCAAGAAGGGAGAGCCTCGTCTAGGCAGCGCATGCCACCATCACCTGTGAGGCTTCAAGCAGGCAGCAGCACCCCAGAGAGGGCCAGGGCATCCGGCCCTGCCCACTGCCCGTCAGAGCCCATGGAGTTAAGCCCAGACACGCAGCATTTCCAGCTGCCCCTGGGACTTTGCTCCCTGCTGCTGGCCAGGCAGGTATGTGGCAACGCTGCCCTGCCTGCGCCTTGCCCACACATCTCTGCCATTCCCAACCTGCCTTCACCAGGGCTGCTCTGCTCAGGGACCACCACTGTCCCCAAATCTCTCAGTGTGTGTGCTGTGACCCCTGAGCCTGCCCCAGGGGCTGGGTGGGTGGGTGGAGAAGGGGCCTGTCACCTTGCACATCACCACTGGGCTCCAACACCAGCCCCCCTGCACCCATGGGGCTGGCAGAGTGGCACCGGGCCCCTGCGCTAAGGGCTCAATCGTTGGTTCCCAGTAGCTTCGGCATCTCGGCTTAAGTGCACAAAACGCTGGTGAAAGCTCTGCTGACTGGAGACCTGTCAGGACCCCAAACCATTCACAGTTTGGGTTCCAAGTGCCACTTTACAGTGTGTTGGCTTTGTAAATAAACAAAACCAAACCTGCCCGGACTCCCACTGCGCAGCACCTCTGTTGCTTAAAAGCTCCACAGCCACTGAGGGCCCCATGCCTGCCACGCTCTGCTCTCACCTGCCACAGCGACTAAAATCACCTTTCTCCTTTGGATTACCAGTAATGAAAGCTGCAATCACACAAAATCTGAAGGCAGGTTTGGGAACCTTAACACAAACAACTCAACAGCTGAAAAAGTTCATTGGTTTAAACCACAGTTTCAGGCACCTCAGGCTCATTTGGTCCACAGATGCTACCAGGTTTAAATTTAAGTGACGGTGTCATTTATAAGTGACACTAGTGCAGGATGATGCTCCCAAGCAGGTAATACCAGGAGTTTAGACCCAGCTTTTACGTTCCAGAGAAAAATTATGTCTATTTGCCTTTTAAAGGGATTCAACATCAAAATGGCGAACAAAAGCACCTGGGTACCACAGGAAGGAGCAGCCATCCCAAGGCCAAGCCTTACAGGCAACATGTTTTCAGCATCCTTGTTGGAAGCAGGGTGTGACAGTAGCTGTCAGACACAGGACAGATGCTTGGGGACAGGTGGGGAGCGACTCTGTTTGTCAGCACTCTTACAACATTAGCAAAGCGCCAACAGTTTACACCCCTGCTGCAAACATACCCCGAAAGCTGGCGTGCTGCTGAAATAATCTACTGGAGATGCAGCACAGCCAAACCTCCAGATGCGCAGCCAGCAGGTTCGCTCCACAGTAGCTGACACCTTTCTGAACCACCACATCCAGCCCCTCATGCACTGGGATGCTTCTCACAAGTTGGATACACCAAGGACCGCCCTGCTCCAGGGGTGGGACAGGTCCCCAGCCACCTCTCAGCACGAGGCAGCAGCCACAGGCACAGAAAGGGCTGGGAAGGACTCTCCTCTAGCACAAGGCGGTCCCAGTAATACCATTTCTCAACCTTGGCTTCTCCACATCCACTCCGCTGCAAAAATTGGCTGGCCTATCCAGATGTTTACATCAGATGACCTGCACTCCCTGTACACAGCCCATCCTGCCCGGAGGTGTGCCAGTGCCAAGAGACAGCACAGCCTCCCTGCTGCAACACTGCCCGGGAGCTTATCCCCCTGCTCTACCACGTACAGCGATTTGGGCCAAGGGGTAGTTGGAAGCCAAATCCCAAGTTTCCTCCTCAAAGTTTTACAGGGACAAAGCCCAGACTGAAAATACACCTCCATCACTTGAGTACACACTTGTCTGGCGGTGCCCAAACAAGCACCCCAGCAGCAGCTGCATCCTGGAAGGGGAGTCAGATGGGATGTGGTTGTGTCCATTGTGTCCCCCGCTCTGGCAGCAGTGGAAGGCTGTGCCCACGGAAAGAGCGGAGCCTAGAGGTAATGGCTGTACTGGTGCAGCAGCAAGCAGGAGAGACATGCCAGGAGAGAAGAGCATGGCATGGAGGTGAGAGATGTGCTGGGCACAAGCAGAGTGCAGGGGCTCCCACTCACCCCCTTTCTTCTTGAAGAAGGCCTCGGGGGGCCGGGGCATGTCACGGATCACCTCATAGAGCGGCTCAAAGTACCCAAACATCTCCTCCGTCGTCTCGTCCATGGGCACAGTGTCAATGATCTGGGGAGGGACGCAGCTTGCGACAGGCGCCGTCGAGCACCCCACCCACTCTCCCCCTCCCCGTTACCTTTTGGGCCACTTTCTTCATCTCGGCCACATAAGCTGCCATCGCCTCCTCCTTGGACATCGTCCCCAGGCTGTGCCAGGCATCCCTGAGGGTGACAGCGGCTGTGAGGCAGGGAGGAGGGGGGTGATTCGGACCAGAAGTGGGTCACACCCCCAACCCCCCGGGGGGCCTTACCACTTGTACCGGCCGATGGGGTCCCAGAAGCCGGGCCTTGGGCCTTGGCAGCACCCCGCCGTCGCCT